TTTCTAATGACCCATGTTCCTACAGAAGACTCAGGACTAATTTATTACTTTGGCAGTTTGTGGAACATATTTTACATAACAACACAATTTTCATTTTAAAATGTTTGAATTTATGTAACTGATGTAAATATATTTAACAAGGTCAGTCTAAATCAAGGGTGTCAAACTTGTGGCCCATGGGCCAGATGCGTCACATGCTGGCCACACCCACCCCAGTTTAGCGAAGGGGGAAAAAGTTGAGATATGTCATGTGATGACAATATGACATCGGGAGTTTGACATCCCTGGTCTAAATGCTTGCTAAAGCATTATGCTAAAGAGTCTAAATCTATGCTAAAGATTTACCATATTCTAGAATACTATTCCAAATATTGTAGATAAAAATTTCAGAAACAAATTTTTCATGTCTCTCAGTTTTTATCTCTGTAATAAGGGGGCTAGAATTTATTTGGGTCATGTGCCACTCCATTTCTGAATACTCTAGCAGTTTACATAACAACATAAAATTAAAACATAAAAATCAGTAGCAGCAGGAAAGCTCTTTACTGTAAGTCCCAATGCCTTTTTGTATAGTGACTTGTTTGCAGTTCTTTGATAATATAATAGTCTGTGTGTGAGAGAGAGTGGTCCTAGAGATTGGGAAACCATCATTTAGAAGGCTCAAGCAAGGGTCCCTGCAGATGACATTCCTTCAGATTTGTAACTCTGAGCAAGAGAGGCAGTTTCAACTTAGAAAAGATGGTCTGGACAATATCCAGTCACTCATTTATATAGGTAACAACCCAGAATTCTCACTCAAGGCTCAAATGACCTTGAGTCTAAAGATCAAATAATTTAAAAACCTAAATTATCCTACTTTGTACACCAGTGGTGGGTTTTTACCAGTTCGCCCCGGCTCGGGTGAACCGATAGTGGTGGTAGTGGTAGGCTCCGTCCACTTGCCCAGATGTCATCATTGATGCTCTGCGCATGCACAGAAGGTTCTGCACATGCGCAGAAGCACCATGTGCGAGTGAAGCAAGTAAACCAAACCGGTAGCGAAGGTAAGTGGAACCCACTATTATTGTACACATTATGTGGAGGCGTGACATCTCAAGGGAAGGCTCTAATGCTGGTGAAAGATGAAAAGAAAGAGAAGAAGATGACCAGCAGCAAGATGGATGATCAGCATTATGATAGCAGGGAGTGCACCAGGGGTGGGTTCTAAATTTTTTTACTACCGGTTCTGTGGGCGTGGCTTATTTTGTGGGCATGGCTTGATGGTCATGTGACAATTTTTTAGGATTTAGCAGAGATACTGGTCTACCAGGCTTTTAACTGCTTGCAGAGCTGTACCGATCTACCCATTTATTTTTTGCAGGCATTGGTCTACTCATGTATTTTTGCAGGCACTGATCTACTCATGTATTTTTACAGGCACTGGTCTACCCATTTATTTTCTTTTAACACTAATCAGCTGTAGGGCGGCCCTTTGAAGTCCCGTGGCAAGAGTTTAAACAGTTTTTTTGCCTCTAGCCATCATCTGGGACTCAGGAGGCAGCAATAGATTGGGGGTGGGGCCAAGTAAAAGGTAAGAATAACTGGGGGGGGCAGGGGGACGGAGGGCAGGCAGGGTGGGCAGAACCGGTTCGATGACGTCATATCGTCACCACTACCAGCTCGGGAGAACCAGGCCGAACTGAGAGGAACCCACTACTGGAGTGCACCATTGGAAGACCAGGTTAGAGACAGATTGTCATGAAGAAAATCAATGTATATGGTCACTAAGAGTCAATACTGACTTGATGGCACATAATAAATAAATCCAAGCTATGTAAGTGATAACCAGCACCTTGCTTTTTTACCTAGAAGTTGACTAGCACTAATGCAACATCTACAACTGGTGTACTTCTTTAATGTGGAAATGCATTCTGCGGGTTTCTATGCAGCCTGCTTCTAACTGAATAGGCTTGGCTTCATCGTAAGGTGTTGCACAGGATGTGGAACAAGCAGGAAACACTCCCTGTGCCAATTCAGCCTTTTGTAGTCAGCAATCCAGAAGCAATACAAAGGGCAAATGTACAGTAATCATTTATTTATTTATTTCATTTATTTGTTCTATTTATATCCTGCTGCAATCCAAGCTGCTCTTAGCAATTTACATGACACAGTATAGAAGCTAAAACACCCACAGTAAGTCTTAAAAATACAGTACCACAATTTAAAATAAACCCTGCGGTGAATCAAAAATCACAGGTAGAAATAATAGGAAGTTGGCCATTCAGATAAAAGATGGCTAAAATTCACTTGTGCAGTTAGACAGGTGCTTTAGAGCAGAATAGCTGAAACTAACTAGTATTTGTAGCTGAAACTGGTAAATGCAGGGAAACTGTCAAATAAGCCACAAAAGTTTAGTTTATCATTCTCCATTTTCTGGAGAGTGCACATGGAAAGGTGGGGGTGCTGCATCAGAAGATAAATATCTCATGGATGCCATTTCAAAGTTGAGTAGATCAGTGGTGGGTTTCAACCGGTGTTACCACTGGTTCGCATCATGCACATGCTTCGCAGATTTAGGTGGGGAAAGTACTTTACTTCCATCAGAAGCACAATCATAAATCTAAATGGCACTCTAAGACTTTGAAAACAATGTATTTTCTCTAGGGGTTGAATAATTGAATAATAACCTTATCTTTTTTCATAAGCTATTTTAGCAATTTCGCTTTTGAGATTTCTATGTATTATGTAAAGTTATATATCTAATTCCAAGGAACTGTGAAGACCATAAGCTTCCTGGGCAACATCAAATTCTACTAAGAATTCAGGTCAGGGACTCCTTCCTTGTTTCCTAGCAACTTAGGATAGTGGGGCTTTTTCTGTTTGAATGAAATCATTCAGCAACAGAGACCAGGATCATTTGCACGGCCTAAGGCAATATTTTGCATACACTTGGGAAGAAGCTCTGTAACATAACACATTCCTGCCTGTTTATAAGAAGAGGGCTCTGCCTTTTGAATCAGATTGAACCAACATTACTTCAGCCTCCTTTAACGTGAAGAATAGGATTAGGATTCGGCTTTTATTACTGCATTGTTGGTTGTCAAGGTGAGGCATTTATCTTCAAACCATGTACTTTCCTAGTTACTGAATTTGGTAAATCAAAACTGTATTCAGGTAAAGATTTCCACGTCCTATTGATCTAACTGAAGCAAAGATTTCCAAAGATTTCTTGGTTACTAATGCAAACAAAATAGAATGGGGCAAGCTTTTTTCTATTGTATTTAATTAGTAATACTGCCAAATGTTGCTTATTGTTTCCATTTGTATAGTGTAGGAAACAGCCTTTACTTTTTTGTGATTAATCAGGATTGATGTAATTAAAAAAATACTTTGTTGGAGTGATAATATAATATATGCATGTGCCCTCCAAGAAAATTTATGCATTGTTGACTATGGTAATGTTGTAAATAATCTGTAAAGGATCTGCATAAATTTTTAATGTTTTAATATGTGAGTTCTCTAGAATTGCAGCTTTTCAATGTTATTTTGCTTATTTTATTTATAATTACACAAAGCAGATTATGAATTTTCAATTTAAATTTCTAAAATTTCTTTGTGTTCACTACTTTCGTTTATAATCAACATTTTGTGAATTAAGTATTGGAATCTTTGTTTAATTTCTTTAAATAAACGAGTGCTTATTCAGATAATAAAATCAAATTATACTTTGGCTAGATGCCCAGATCACATTATACTGTAATTTTGTTTGTTTAGTTTTGGCTTAGCATGATATTGAAACCAGGTCTTATTGCTTGCATGTTACAGATGATGGTTTAACTTGATGATTTCCTGGAAAAAGGCAAGCAGAAATTCCAGGATATTAGATAGAGTCTGAGATATGAAACACATGGCTAAATAAAAAAACTTTATTGAACATTAGAATGAAGTCATAAAGGAGTCAGTTGACCTTTATTGCTTTTTCTTCCTGCCACTCTTTGAAAACTGCTCATAGCCTTGTAATTGAGTTGTTGTTAATCATTTATATAATTGATTTATCTTCTGTTGGAAATACTGGCTGTTGTTTTATGTATACTATTGTCTTGATTTTAGCTTCCCAAATTGGGTAGCCCTATTCTATAATGATTTGTTCAAAATATAATTAAAATTAAAACCACTAGATGAGATCACTAGGGCTCGCTGCCTTAGAAGAGTGAGGAAAATTCTCAGGAATGACTCTGACCCTGGTCATCGCTTCTTTACCCTCCTACCATCTGGAAGGAGATATAGAAGTACAGCCAGCCGTACAAATAGGCTGAAGAACAGTTTTTAACCGTAGGCTGTCAGACTCCTGAATGATAAATAACATCATAACTATGTAGTATGATGGACTGCAGGGCCGGCGCAATGTGTAACATGTTCACACTGGTGCAATAGGACTGGGAGTTTTGTTAATATGATTTATTGGGTTAGGGATTTTCTGTCTTCACTGTGAGTTGTATTGTGTTGAGGGGGGTGCACTGAAGGAGCTCAACCAATCTCATTGCACATATGTTGTGCACTGACAATGAAGATTTGAATTTGAATCTGAATTTGAATAAATAATAGACATGCTGTATGAAAACAGCCTATGTTTTAGCCTTCACAAGCAATTTCTGAGGGAAAAAAATCTCTTGCAACATAGTTCTGAGAATTGTTAAATTGTATCACAGCATTTTTTATATGCTGTGTCAAATTAGAACATTTATCATTGCTACTATGGGAAGATTGAAATTTGTATATTTTTATTGTAGAATACAAAAATAATAATAATTCTGAATCCTGAAAATAGAATAGGTGTTGGGTTTGTTGAATGGATAGCATCTTGCTAGCGTTTGTAAATTTTATTTTAAATTAATATAAGGGGATAGGTTTGGTATGAAAATTGGAGAATCCTCTACTCCTAAAAGCGTTTAGGGCTTTAGGCAATATAACGTTTGTTGCAAACAAAGAGAAAACAGTTTTTTATATTTGCTTATCAACAGGAAATTCAAAGATACAACAGAATAGATGACCATGACTTCTCCCTTTCCTTGTGGATTGCTTTCATGGACCTTAAATTCAGTGTGGTTCCTTGATCACAAATAAATAATCTTCACATACTCAATTTTACAAGACTAAAAACATAGCATAATACTGCAGAAACTGTGCTAGTTCACTCAAGGTAAGTAATATCACCTTGTACTACTACTTGCAATATTAGTATGATGTTTAGGCAATTGCTTTTTCTGTTCTCTTAATTCTGATAAGCCAATATGGATGATTGATAATTGCCATATCTTTACCACTTCTATTGAATCCGGTGTAAATTATCCCTCCCAATAATAATAATCACAATATTTCTAAATTAACAGAGTTGTAGCAGTTTTAATTACTTGAGTATGAAGTCACCATGCTGTCTCTCTTGCTTTCCTTTTCAACAATTATATGGCCAGTGCAATAAAATGAGACAAGATATTATGTTTACCCAGTTTACAACATGATAGATTCGTATAAAAATGGATTTAGTTATTAGAACACACATTACTATTTAGTTAATTAAAAATTATTGATAATTTCTCCTAAAATAACTAAATTCCTAATCATGAATTAACTATGACCTACCAGATTCTCTCCCTCATTCTGTATTAGATTTATCAGATTTACTCTGAGATTTATAACTAGAAATCTAAAGCTGAAAAGGTTCCATATTTTTTAGAGGATCATTATGAATTTCAGGTCATTTAATGAGCTAGTTCCAACAAGAAAAGCCAAAAATATCCTAGAAAGAACTTGGGTGGGATATCTACTTTAGCAAATACCTATCTTTGGATGGGTGGTCTTCAAGTGGAGACATTGGAGGAAAAATAGGCAAGAAGCCATCTGTGCAAAAATAGCATCCATACTCTTCACAATCTCTTTGCTCAAATGTTAGACTGAGGACTCTTCTCAGAAAAACATTTGGGTCTCACTGCTCCAGAAAAAAAAACGGACTATGTCAGTTGTACATGGTCCTCACCCTTTATTCCCAGAGCTTCTGAGACTGAGGAACAGAGATAGACATGGTTTTCTGGAGCAGCTGACTACTTCAGTGCCTTTTTGAACCTTCAGAACAAGACTTTGAAGCAAGTAGTGGTGTGGTCCCAATCTATTGTTTGAGACCTGCCACCTCATGCCTGCGTTCTACAATTGTTTCCATATCAGTTTACCATAAACCCTGGGAGAAGGGTGGGAGGGAGGAGGAGCACTTGGGGGGAGAGTGAAAGTTAAGAAAGTGAAGGCGTCTGCCAAGAGGGCATTTCAAGGTCACTCTGCGATGAGAAGAATGCAGCTGCAGGCCATCCTACAATCAGAGTGGCCGTTTCCAAAACATCTTCTTTGAAATTAATTGGACAGTGGGGGACCAGCAAGGGGAAGTGCTTAAGTGGGAAAAAAGTTTCACTTGGGGTTTTGGCATGCAAATTTCAGTTCTGGCTTTGCACTATTGTATCTCACTTGGCTTCTAGTAAATCATACCTTTTTCAAACTGATAATGTTAAGGATCGTTTTTACTTAGAAGCCTAAGGTGAGGCAGGTCTGACATTTTGAGAAAAAGTGTTAGTGGGAACTCAAATTGCTTTCAGTAAATGCTTCCATGAGACAGAGGTTTTACTTGCATGAGTGGGGAAGCATCAAGAGAAAGAAATTAGGCTGTCTCTACTGACATGTGTTTGTTTATAAAATTAATTCAGTGATGATCATTGTTTCAGCATCATGATGCAATAAAAAATAAATTAAATTCTAAGGTTTTTGTGATTACAAGTAATCCTTGAAATGCATGTAATTCTCATGAGTAAAGGTGTTATAAATAAAGATATAAAAATGTTGCCAGATAATAAGCTTTGCTTCTTAGTATCTCCTGCACTGAAGATGTTATCTACTATGATTATGACAAGTTTGCAACCCAAAACATTCACTCAGAGAATTCTAACAGCACAACCTGCCAGCACTGAGATAATATGTTCTCTTGGTGAAAAAAATATTGAAAATATTAGATATTTTATATAATTCAACTGATAAATCATGTGTACGAATTTGAATATTTTGAAAGTGATATATATACAAGTAGTCCTCAACTTACAACAGTAAGTATATAGCTTTCACCCTGATTGCATTCTAAATTGCCTCAGAGCCTCTTCTTTCTGTTGCTGATGGCCTGATTTGCCACTTTTTACCTGTTTTCTTATTTGTTTCTGGCTGGTTTTTTTTTCTGAATTGTATTGTATTTTAGTCTTTTGATTATACTATGAATAGCCCTGCCATCATCTCGAGTGGGGTGGCAATTAAATTCCAAAGTAACTATTTTTGCAGTCAAGATATTATAGTGATAGTTATATCATTTTCAATATGCTATTTGAATTGATTGGTGCTTATTAATTTTTTATTTACTTGTAATAAACAAATTTATTAAAATAAATAGTGTCAAAGCAAAATTTTCTATCTTGATATCCCCTCAAAATAACATGAAAAGATTACAAACCCTAAGCAATTTTTATGAGTTCAAAGTTTATACTATATCACATTTTATCACACAATTTCTCTTAAACTGCACTAAACAAAGCAACTGGTGTATTCTCCCTGTCCTCTGTAATATATTTGTAATACAACTCTGCATCATTGTCTTTTCCTTGTAATTTGTCATGGCAATTGCAACTTGATGATAATATTTTTGAAATCCATTGCATTGTATTTAGTTTCTGGTAGGGAAAATGATAATATTTTTTAAGTTGGATATTGGTAAATTATTAAAATAATAAAACTTGGACAATAGCATACTGTATTCTCATAAGTAAAGATAAAAATGGCACGTGTGTATCAGATCTGCCAGAGACTTAAACCTCTAAGTAGAAAACAATCCTTTTCCTCCATTTGCTGAGAAAGCTATATTTTTATTAGAACTCAAGTGTATTGCAGTAATGCACAGCCAGAACTGAGATCCACATGCCAAAATCCCTATGTTATACTTTCCCCTCTTTTCCCCTCCTCAACTGTCTTTCATTTCCCACCACAAGGTAACCAATTAAAATCTTGCAAGATGTTTTCCTAATGGTCAGTTCAGTGTGCTCTGATATGCCGCTACCTCCTTCTTCCAGCTGGGGACCTTGAAGCAGCTTCTCAAGAAGACACTGCACCTAGTTTCAATTTCCTAAGTATCCCCTTCCACTTCATCTTCCTTCTCCATAGTTAACAGGAGACTGTCACCACATATCAGCAAAGCCCAAGAAAGTATGAGAGGCAGCTGATAGTGTGTCCATATAATCTCTTATCTTGCTTGGCTATTAAAATGTCAGATGCTTGTTAATGGACAGGAAGCCCAAGTGGAATTCAAGTATCACCTATCTGGTGACATAGCCTGGGTAGAAGGCTAATTTTTGTTGTCTCCATTCACCAAGGGAGGAATTGATTGTTTGGAATTTGGAATGAGCATTTGGGATTGTTGGAAAAGGGCACTAAGATTCCAGATGACAGTATGTTAGTTCTTGAAGATATTAGTGTGTTACATTGATCTTCCATAGACAGAAGAAATATTGCTAGCTCTATTCAGGCTTGTCTCTCATCTACCAATCCTGTATCTCTGGAAATAAAGTCTGTTATGAAGCATTGATTATAAAACTCAAAAATGCATTGATAGTAATTTGCTTCGGTTTTCTGAAATGGTGCTTTTTGTTGGTTAACTTTTATTAGTATCAGGCAGTTGGATATATTGTAATCTCTTTGAAATAAAAGTGATCCTAAGTCTCATTGGAACCCAATGTGTGGAAAATTCAATGGACTTAGATGTGCCTGAATTTTCTCTAAATTATTCTTTCATAGACAGATATTTAATATCTTTCATAGACAATATTTAATTAAATATTTTACAGAATGAATGTAAACAAGAAAAATAAATGACATGAAAAAAGAATGAAAGGGCAGAATGCAAATAGGTGTGAATAACATTTTAAAATTTGATACATAAATTAAATAAATAAATAAACAAGGAACCTAACATGTCATAAAATTCAAATTCACAATGAATAAGCAAGTATTTCTAAAATTTTAAAAGTACATTAGTTTTTGAACAAAAAAATTAAAATCACTAGTAAGTTTAAAATAAAGATGTCTGTGTTTTCAAATTTCATACAAAATGGACTATGGTATCTTTTAAGAGTTTATCAAAAAAGGCACTTTTCATCTTAGATGATTATATAATATTTTTCTGAAGAATTAAACTAACAATAATCAATAGGTATAAGTAACTATATTTCCTGTGCATTATTTTTAATTTTTTAAAATTGAAAACTGAGATTTTTTTTTAAAAAAAATCACATTTAATTGGTATTTATTAGTTTAAAAGTTTTAAATTAATAAACTGCTCATCTTATAACCGACTTTGGACAGCTACCAATTAGATAGTTAGAACAACATACAAAACCATATTAAAATTATAAAACTAGCTTTATTAAAATACTGAAAAACAACAAAAACCTGGTGCTAAGTCAAACTTCAGATGTACAGCTATCTAACCTTAGCTGAGGGCCTGGAGAAAAAGCCAGATCTTCAATGCTTTATGAAGGCTAGGACCTCCTGAACTTCATGGGGCAGAATATTATGGAGATTCACAATCATCCAGGTCAAAGATGCTTTTCAAAAGGCAGGTGGACTTGCTTGATTATTTTTTCTTTGAAAATATTTCACTTCTCATCCAAGAAGCTTCTTCAATACTCACTTTTTCAAGAACTGAAGAAGCTTCTTAGATGAGAAACAAAACGTTTTCAAGGAAAAAAAAACCCAAGAAATTTGAAAAGCACCTTTGGGACATTCATGGGGCAGAGTGTTCCGTAGGGCAGGGGCTGCCACAGAAATGGCACATTTCCTAGCTCCCTTCTTATGGCAATATTTAGGGGAAGGGTTAGGATTAGGGTTAGGGTTATGGTTATGATAGGCATGCCCTAGTAGGATGGGTAGGTGTTCTTAGGGAAAGAGGGCCCCACAAATAATGTAGCTCTGTGTCATATTGGGCTTTAAAGGTAAGAAGCAATACCTTGAATTGCACCCAGAAAGAGTAAGCCAGTGCAGCTTGCACAACAAAGATGTTACATGGGCAAACCTAGGAGACTTCATTACCATGCAGGGTGCTGCATTCTGGGCCAGTTGAAATTTCCAGGTGGTTTTGATTTAAATATATATACCGTAATTTCCTACTTAATAAAGCCAAGTTTGCTTTACAGATTAACAACAGAGGAAATAGAATGCCATCTAGAATAGGATTTCAAGCAGTTCCAGTGAGAGAAGAGAGCTCTATGGCACCATAAGAATGCTATATGAATATTTTAGCATTATGTTCCATGTTAATAAGCTCCAGCTTGTTCAGCTTTGTGTTAGATCCTTGGGGATTACGTCAGATGAGGAAATGTGTTTATCACATAGTGGTTATTGTTAAAGTCAAATAAGCTTGGCTGCTGCCTAGAATTATTACAGCAAGTTGAGATTGTTTTCATTTCATAGATAGTGTCTCCCAGGGAAGTTAGTAATGTTTGCTGTTGAAAGTCAGAGGACAGGGAGATTTTGCCTGCTATAGTACCCCCATTTAGTCAAAATGTATCTTCTCTTCAAAGGATATCTTATATTCCAATTACAATTGGCAATTAATGATAACCTAAATGTGAAAAACACCAATGCACACCCCAATATTTCCATAGATGAAGAATAAAAAATAATGTGCAATATTTTTTTCAAAAAAATAACTTTGCTGAAAAACGTTAAGGAAAAAAAAAGAAAAAGAAATAAAAAAACATTTGGTTAAAGTAATAAATAGTAAGAATAATAAAAACCTTGAAAAATAAACAATAAAAATATTCAATAAAAGAGAAAGAAGCAAGAAAAATCACCCGCCAGAAGTTTAAGGGAAAGTTTAATCTTTTTTTGTCATGCATCATTAAAAAGCTTATATTTGCAAAAAGTCTGTGGCAGCAGCTCGGGAAGAAATCATTATTTTCTTGCTGTTCTACCAAAGCCTCTACTTGCTAAATAAATGCAGGATATGGTTCTTTTTGTAGATCTTTAAAGTCTGCTGAGAATGCTGAACATTGTGTATCTTTTTTGAAAGTCAGTTCAGAGTTTTATTCCTTTCTTCCTTCTTGGCATGGCCATGTAACATGTTGCTAGGATGGCTAAAGTGAAGGTTCATTAATAGCACTGTCAAGATAAATTACAAGTTAGACATTTGAAATGTATTGCTCAATATATAGGTCCCCAGAATCTGGCATAAAATTAGAAATAGATACCTAGCAGAGAGATAAAAAGGTGAAACCCAAGTTTGCTTTGTTTGTTTGTTTGTTTTGTTTCCTGTCTTTATTATTTTTACAAATAACTCACTTTCCTCCTCCTATTTTCCCGACAATAACTCTGTGAAATGAATTAGGCTGAGAAAAATGACTGGCCCAAAATCACCAAGCTGGCTTTCATGGCTAAGGCATGACTTGAACTCACAGTTTTCCATTTCATATCCTAGAGTCTTAATTACTAACTAGACCAAAGTGGCTCTAATTATTTTTTAAAAATTGTATTATTTGAGGCTATGCTGTTCCCTGCCTTTTGACCATACCCCAGAGCCTGAAAAAACATCACTTTAACTTACTGTTCTTCTTTATACAATTATTTAAATATTCATAACTGTAGGAATTGGACAATAGTATATTCTTAGCTCCTTGTTTAAACTTTAAAGAGAAATTAATATCCAAACAATAGCCTTAGTATATGGGCATAGATGATAACACAAAACTTTCATCATGCAGACTAAAACAGTCAGTGTGTTAAATATGAATTCTCTACCACTCATATAATTTTCCAAACACTTCCAGGGAACATCATATCCATAGCACCATTCCCATTTTTACCCTTAATTCCTTCTAACCCTAAAAGCAGCCAGATAAATAAAGTAGCTGAATTCTTTTTATAGAAAGAACTGTTCCTCTAATTGGAGAATATCAACAGGAAAAAGATGCAAGGAAAAAAGTATTGTATCTGTCTGATGCAAGATCAGAAAATAAACCCATTTATTTAACTTTTACATCTTATAAAATGATATAATGTATTCAGTCCCCTCTCCATGAGGTATACATAGTAACTGCCTAGTAGCCTACTTCATCTAAAATCTTACAAAATTGAAGGCAGGAAAGCCAGAGTCAATGAAAGCCACATAAAATGTCCTGAGAAAATGTGAAATAAATTTATTTGTAATTTGGGCAGGAATGAGCAAAGGCACTTGGGACATTTTCAAACTTCCCCAGAGTCTTTCAACCCCTAATAAAATAGTCAACAAACTTGCAGGTAGCCCACAAAACCAAAACACATGACTGTGTTTTACAACACTTTTTCTTAGAAATTGGCATTTACTTCTGGTTTCCAGCAAAAACCTCCCATGGGTTTGCTTAATAACTGTGGATTTGCCTGATGATCATGGTGACTTTCTTAAGAACTGCTGCAGAACCTGTTGTAAAATTGGGTTGGTCACATACCACAGTCGCTCTGTCAGGGAGATTGGCGGCATATAAATGTAATAAATAAATACATATGATCTGTGTAATGATTGACACAGCTTATGCCCATAATTTCAGCTCAAGTATGGTTGTAAATCAAGTCCCAAAGGTGCTTTTTCCCACCCTCAAAAGGCAACTGGACTTTGGAAAAAAGCATGATCTGGATGACTGAGAATCTCGATGATCATAAATCAAGGACTACCTGTATTAAATTTTGGGAAGGACCCTGAGGTAGAAAATAACAAAGCAAGCAGTTTATCAATCATTTTTGAGGAATGATTTATTTCAGGGACTCAATTAGTTTGCATGTTAAAATGTTCAGCTATGAAAACACAGCGTAAATTACTCTAACTAAGCAATAAAATACCACCATATTGATGCATTTATAATAATCCTGCCACCCAGTTTTTTCAAAACTGAGTGACAGGATTATTCCAATTTAAAAATCCTTTTTAAAAATATGACCAGGATTTGGCCACTGAATGTGAAACCCTGACTAAGGTTCATAGCTGATAAAGTGACTGTGGTCAGGAGTAAGAAGTAGGTATTGTCAATAAAAAAAAGCATGCATTCAACTTTCAAATGTTATTTTTTGTGTTTCTATGTTAGAAACTACTACAGTGTATGAATTTTACAAGGACAATGGATACCAAGTTTCAAGAAGCAGAAGGATTTGGGGAAGAAGCTTCAGGTAAATGTCTCATTATAATTATATGTTTGAGAAAATACTGATAACTACTAACAATTCTTTTCGTTCTGCAAAATAGGAACTCTGTTTGTTTTAGGTCAATTATCCAATTTAATCTTAATGCACTGTAGTCAGTTAAAATGTACATAACTAATCAACCCGTCTATTGTATGATTTGTATATGAATGGAAATTGTTCCAAAGGAGAAGCTATGTATTGTTATATGTTCACATTTGCGAGTAACATTACCTTTTGAAAGATCAAGTGGTATCTTCTGACTTGTTAAGTACTTAGAAACACACATTTCACTTGGCGACCAAATAGTGAAAGTCATATTTAAAAACAAAAATATTTAAACATTGTTTTATTAGCTGGCAGTACAATCCTATGGATAGTCTATTGGAAAAGAATGCCATTGAATTCACTGATATTTTATAGGAAAGTGTAACTACGTTATGTGGAAGAAATATAGCACTTAAGCTCCTTAAAGAAAAATATTTGTATGCTTAATATAGTCTTGTATAATTAAAAAATATGCTCATTCTGAAGCTTACATTTTATTATGAGTGAATTGAGACATTCTCTAAACTTGGAATGGACATTTAGCAATTTCAATTTAGGTTATATTAATTATTCCTGCATGTATATTAAAACCAGAATTATATTTGTAAGTTAGATGATCAATTTTGAAAAAAATTGGTTGATTTTCTTTTAGTATCATTAATTTTTGGTTCCTATTTTAATATTTTTTTTCAATGAAAGCTGCATTCAGTTTTAGGAATAAAAATTGAGGAATTGTCCAAGTTGGAAAACAATCCTCGTATCACTTAGTTTTGTGTCTCTTTGCAAATACTGGCTAAAAGTAATCATTTTTCATTAATGCCTATTCACCTAGGAAAGAAGAAGTCAAAGTTTAAATCTATTAAAAAGTTCTTTGGGAAAAGAAAAAGGAAAGAAACATTAACATCTTCAGGAAGTGGTAATATCAACACATGTCAGTCCGCAATTGATATCTCAGCCACACCATCTAGGCATATAGATTATGATTCTGAAGATGATCTGAAGTAAGTCACATGCTTTCCTTTTCCTTCTTTGCAAAGCAAGTTGTTGTTGTTGTTTGAAAAGCAAGGTTATTTCTATAGGGTTATCCTCCATCAATGGTGGGATCCTCCCGGCTTAACAACCGGTTTGGTGATCATGTGCTTTGCACGCACCCGCACCTAACGCACACTATGCGCGCATGTGCAGTTTGAACAAATCTTCCCTTCTGGGTTTCTTTGGAGGAGTAACACAGCTGATTAGTGCGGCAATTGGCTCTGCGACGTGAAACAGCTGAGGAGATAAAGATAGGAAAATAGCGCGGGCGGGCGGGCCCATCTAATATCGGGGTGAATCTGTTCACTCCCAGCTGATCGTAGGAGCTACAGGTTCACCTGAACTGGTCCAAACCGGTAGAATTCCACCACTATCCTCCATGTATACAAATGTTTCATTTGTTGAATATCTAGGATACTCCTCTGAAGTGTTGTAAAGACATAATTAGAAGAATGTTCTGATATCCATTCATACTGGAGAGCAGCAAGCATTGTTAGAAATAGACATTCTTAGTGGTAGTCCCAATGAGAGGGGTGGAAAAACAAACAAACAAACAAATAAAAATTCTGAATACTCTTAATGGTGAAGTACATCAAGCACATACTTCATTCTCCTGCCAGCAACTTCTTTTTACCATCCCAGTACAGGTAATCCTCAATTTATGACCACAATTGAGCCCAAAATGTATGTTGCCAGGTGAGAAATTTTTAACTGAGTTTTGTCCCTTTTTATGACTTTTCTTGCCACAGTTGTTAAGTGAATCATGGCAGTTGTTAAATTAGTAACATGGTAGTTAAGTGAACCTTGCTTCCTCATTGACTTTGCTTGTCAAAAGGTTGCAAAAGATGATCACATGACCCCGGGACACTGCAGCTGTCATAAGTATGAATCAATTACCAAGCATCCGAATGTAAATCACATGACAATGGGGATGCTGCAATGGTCTCATAATTGTGAAAAATGGTCATAAATCAGTTTTTTTCAGTGCCATTATAACTTTGAACAGTCATTAAGCGGTTGTAAGTTGAGGACTACCTGTATTATGTGGAAGAATACTATCCTCCCAAAATTCTTCCCCTTTTATGTCTAGAATGGAAAGTTTTCGGGTAGTCAGTCTGCTGTTTGATTTCATGACTTCCTAAACATTTATGCTTCTTCAGAGTCAAAACATCCCAAAGATGCTTTTTCAAGACATTCATAGTCAAAACTGAAAAGGTGCTGTGGGGCAGGCTCCATAAACAACTTGCTCCTGATAGTTGTGAACTCCCAGAAAAATGCACTTGAGTTAAATGGACCCTGACGGAATACACACACCTGCTCTAACCTTGACTGTGCCTCTTTAACTCCAAAGCACAATTTCTTGTGCTTTGATTTGTGCGACCATTGTGCTTTGATTTGTGCGACCATCCCAGGAAAATATGGAGTTTCTTTAAGGAAGCACCAAGAGGTGCAAGGGTGTGTATCCATGTCTTACTCCAAAGCACCTTTTCAATTTTGGATCTGAAGTGCAGCATAGCTCTATTGTGTGTATGTGTGCTATGTAGTACTTTCATTACTATTTTAGAATATTTTCGAACTATGTGGTGATTTTCATTTGTAGTAAGCTGTACTGGGAAAAGCAAACTTTATGAAGTTGATAAAATAATTAAATGTTCCAGAATGTTGTCTTAAAATGCTAAAAAGGAATGCTGTGCTCAATATTGCCATTAGAAGGTGCTATTGTACAAAATCATAATGGTTTTATCTCCTATTAGTACTACTATTAAAATGACTTCAAAGTCAATGTACAGAAAGGCTACTGTAAAAATTCTGGAAATTTATCCTCATGCAGGATAAAAAGCTATGGAAATGATAGTTCAATAAATACGGAAAGCACTAGATTGAAAAAGGATAATATTACTTTGCTATTTTTACTGAACATATTTGTAGCAGATGTTAGTTCATAGTTCTTATTTACAGTTTCTCTTTTTTGTGTTCATTGCTATAGCATCTTTATTTAATGCAGAAATGTTTAATTTTAAGTCTTAATATTTGGAAGGATAATATAAATTAACATCAATTGTTAAACATCAACAGCACAAATTTGCAAGATTCTGTTATTATAGCCTATTGCAATAAAATTAGTTTTAGCATTTGCATGGAGTTGATTTTTTTGGTCTAATCTACCTACGGTAGTTGCCTGACAAAATATTTGGTGCCTACAACTTCAGCTTGGAACTAACTGGACTAAAGTTGTCTGAAGAATTGCAGACCCCGGTTGGAAATGTGTTATCTAGAATCCCTTTCAATTCTGCGAACATGTTGGGCATCTCTTATGACTGAATTCCACATTATTCATTAACCAATTTATTGGTTAGATCCTTTTAACTAAATTATGGAATTATATACTTCGTTCTACCTAGAGAATCTAGATCTCTAGTGGACCTGGTATTCAAAAATGATGTGTGCATGTAAAATCATGAAGCCCAAAATACCTCAGATACTGTTATAGTACATCTTTCTTCAGCCATTCCTTCCCTCATTACATTCCTACTAAAATTTGCATTGCAAATAGACTTCATTACTTGAAAAGAAAGACCAGGTTTAAATATGTGTTGTTTTATTAGCTTTCCATATTCATTCCATATAGGATGCACAGAACTATCATGGGAAACAGAGCTTTGTCACATGACAGCATTTTCATTTCTGAGACTCCACAAGAATCACCTAGGCCAGTTCGAGTGTTTTCTCAGGAAAATGTTTCTGATCGAATTAGGTCCTTGCAGGTAATACTGTTGAAATAATTAATTTCCATTATTTCCAGATTCTTTCATTTCTAGTATGATTGCAGATTTATGTTTGATTTTGGTATATGCAGTGTGATATTCAACATGTGAAACAGGGGTGAAATGTAAAATTTGTTACTACCAGTTCTGTGGGTGTGGCTTGGTGGTGGTAGGGTAATGTGACTGGGTGGGCATGGCCAACTTTTTTTTTTAACTTTTCAAACCATTTTTTTTTAATGCTTTGAAAAGCCTCTGCTGATCAGGCAACTCAACTGGGATTGTCAGAGAGGCTTTTTAAAAAATGCCTCTCTGCCGATCAGGCAACTCAGCTGGGAATGTCAGAGACTTTTCAAAGCATTTTTTTTACCACCTCTTCGGCCAAGAGATTGCAGAAAAAAATGCTTTGAAAAGCCTCTGACGATCCCAGCTGAGCCGCGCAATCATCAGAGGCTTTTTTTTTTACTTTTAAAAGCATTTTTTTGTCAGAAGAGGTTGTAGAAAAAATGCTTTTAAAAATTTTAAAAAAAAGCCTCTGATGATCATACGGCTCAGCTGGGCATGATGGGGGGGCAGGGATTTTTGCTACCGGTTCTCCGAACCACCCGCCGCCATCGCTACCGGATCGGGTGATCCGGTCCGAACCGGGAGCATTTCACCCCTGATGTGAATCAACAGAAACATCCACAATAGGGTTTCTCTAAATTAATGATGTGGAGAATTTAGTCATCCAAGGAACTTGAATATCAAGGTGATTATATGATGGTTAATCTACACTGAAAGCCAAAAGGTACCTTTTGAAGAGGGCAGTAAGGATGTGCTCATTCTGTGCATAGTTTCGGAACAAATATCCTGTCCTTCTTTATTAGTAATTAGTGTGAAGAAATGTGAACAGAATATACCATAATTGCTTGTTCATTTTCCTGCTACTAAATTCCTTTGACCTATGCCTTGAGCCCCAAGGGCAGGATCAACATTGTTTTGTTTATTATTTACAACATAATTTAATAAAAGTGGGTCACAACAATAAGTAAGCATTGTATAAAATCACACTCTCCTTGTATATAATCAAATAAGGTAAAGGGCAAGAGACTGAATAAAATGACATTATCCACATGCATCTTTCTGCTGGGAACAAAAAGAAACTGTTCTTGTGATTTTGGGAATAGCAGGCGATTACATCATTTTTTCTTTTATGAAAGCAAATCTATTATTTTAGTAGTATAAGAAATGTATTAAAACTCAATATTTGGTATTGTAGGTGAAACTTCAGCAAAACTGGAAGATGGGTCTCTCCTATCCATTTGGAACGCCTTCCAAAAAACAAGAGGATACGGGAATGAGTTCAGAAGACGATGGCTTACCTAGAAGCCCACCAGAAACGTATTTGCTACAAGAAATTCTAAATCCCAATACACCAAAGGTAGGATAAATTGGGAAATGCATTTTATAATTATGGATTGTGTTTATTATCTGAATTCATATTTGTAGTAATAGTAACTCTCAGAAGTTTAATAATAAAGATATTCAAATATTTGTTTACTATAGATAAGAGCCTGTTTTTCTAAGGGAAAGGCGTCATGAAAAATGCATAAGCATAAGAATAACTGTAAGAAATGGAATAGCCTAGATTCATGTCAAATGATAGAGGGAATATTTATTGTAGTAGATTTCTCAGAGATCTATTTGATTCCTTCTGGACTGTGATACTGTTCAGAAACAAAAGCTTCAAAAAAGTTTAAAACTGAAGTAGAAAGAAAATGACAGCTAATCTGAAGACCTTTTCAACTTTCATCTAATTGTGGCACAAACATGCCTAGGCAACATCTTTTTTTCCCCTCTGGGTTTTCTCATAATGTTGCCTTTACTTCATTTCCAGTACATGAGTGAGATAGGCATTACATTTTCTGAACTATACCAAAGTTAAAGTAGCGCTTTCTTCCTTGTTTTGACATATCAAAGCTTTAAGGTGTATAACATCTATTAAGCTTTGCTACCAATTATTTTAGAGAAAAATCAGGAGTCTGCAATGGTTGGGAATAGAAACAATGAACAGGATTGGTTCAAGGCTGGATGGAGAACAGTTCATCAGTTGTGAAAGCCCCTCACTCTGATATTTTCTTTAAGAAAACTGTGTAAATACTAGAAAATATGGTCAGGATTCTTCTAAAAACAATCTCCACTATCATATTTACAGATTACTCCTAATTTTTAGAGCTTTATAGAAACATTCTTGTTGCCTGTGTGATGTTGGTATAGTATTGTGTTTGTATAGCACAGCATGCTGGCTGGGGAATTCTGAGAGTTGAAGTTCACATAACTTAAAGTTGCCAACTTTGAAAAAATACTGGCATATTAGGGACTATAACTTTTGTTTATATTTCATTTCATATTGTCATCTGTTACTGAAACTTTTTCTCATTCCGCCTCACAGTTTTCAGATTCTCACAAGCATCATAGCGCTTTGAGTTTAATTGGAACAGGCAGTGAAGAAGAAGAACAGGTAATTTAATTGCATCTATACTTAATAGCAATGCTGTAATATCTCATGGGATGCCTGAATTCTTAGAAAGGTTTCAGGGATGGGTTGCGATACTTTTCTTAAGAGCTATTAATGAAGGATATCATTAGCTGCATTACACTTCATTTTTCTTTCAAACACAGCTAAGGAAGAAATGAATTGGAAACAAATGCAGGCATATTTTAATTGCTAGGCTGGGAGTCACCCAAAAGGAAAGTGTGAAGTATTTGAACAATTTCCTCCAGATTGTCTTTAAAAGTTAATTTTGAACAGGTCCAAAGATTATCTCCAAGGTCTTTTGATTAGCCTTTTTATTCTTCTTTAATTGATCAGCCACATTTCCCCCTTAACAGTCAAAATTGCAATTGCTTTGCTGATGAAGGCTATTGGCTATTCTTTTTGAGAGCATTGTTATTCTTTCCCAAAGCTCTCTTTGACAGAATGGTTGCCTCTCTTCAATCAGTGGCACAGGCAACCAGCAGATTGAAGAATGGCTTTAGTAGCCTCTTGAAGGACCCCATTTATTCTCTCTACTATTAGCTCTACTATTAGTAGAGCTAATAGGCATGTGGAAAATAGAAGGGGCAATTGGAACACTACAAATGGACAAGAAAGAAAGTAATACACAAAGAAATTACTAATTTTCTTTCCGAAGTGAACACTTTCTGTGTGTAGATCATGATAGAGAATATTGTAACAATGATCACCATTCTATTTTAATCAACTGTTTCTGCTGTCCATTGTTCTAAAATATGAAGTGCAGGTCATTGTTTCTTTTGCCAAACTTGAGATTTGTTGTGATGATAAGCTGCCAAACAAACTCTTTTCAGTTTCCTGAAAGAAGAGGAGGAAGAAGCACAATATCACAAGCAACACAGCTATTAAAAATTTCACAACTATTTTGTTGCTTTGCTGTAGCAAAAATTTAAATGTAACAATATGTGTCAGCAAATTGCAATTTACTTGCTATTCCCCAAGTGTTGATGTGATAGGCGCCTTTTTTTCTGGCTTTTCCTGTTTTTTGTTTTGTCCCCCATAGTTTAAATAAATAAATAAAATAGGAAAATTAAGTTCTGCTTACAGGAAAAATATAAACAGATATAAACAAACTGTGGATAATTTAAAAGCAGTGTTAATTCTAACGAAGATGAAATAAGTGTATGTAATAATGTTTAGGAATTTCCTGGTTTTATTTTGTTTTCTTTTAAAATTCTTATAGATTTGCTTTGATGCTGTTCCCCTTCCCCCTTTGTCTTTAGGTCACAAAAAGTCCTTCAAGATCCTGTTCTACAGAAAGTCAGCTGTTCTCCCATCAGCCAAAAGCTACAATTATAACTGAACAAACATTTGATAGCAGCTGTTTGCCTGCTGCTGATTTTGATATTCTTCCGGAATTATATTCTTGCTTGGATAATTCTGCTGCTAAGCACAAGCTTTCAATAAAACCACGGAACCAGAGATCTAGTAAAATAAGAAGACTACCTTTGGTAATTGATGAGAACTGGAGGGAGGGAGGGAGAGAGAGAAGGAGAGGAAAGCATTTGAAAGAGGAAATATTTGTGGATGGAGATTTCCTTTTCTCTACAGGCTCTCCCTATGATGTAACAATAGGAAAAAAAGCCTACTCAATGAGCAACAAGGCTGTGCCAAGTATTTAAAAGGGACACTTTGCTAAGCATGTTAAAGTCAGTAATGTTCCCTTCCTCAAAAACACAAAAATAATCACATGCTTCAGAATACTTAGGAACTACTTCAGAGAATGTCCTCAACTAACTGTGCACATGTATGGGGGTAGTTCACCTATTCTGATGTACTGGGTAGTTCCAGTGAAAGTATGGTCTAATCAAACATTGATTAGACCATAATGGCCTAAATCTTTTCCCCTTTTAAATGTAAATTTTAATTTGTTTTTAAATTATTGGGTATTTTAAATTTGTCTCAGCCAAATTATTTAATTTGTTTTTATTTTATTTTAAATTTTTGTATTTATGTGTTTTATTCTGTGGCTGTTCACCGCCCTGAGTCCTTCAGGAGTAGGGCGGTATATAAATCTAATAAAACAAAAACAAACAAACAAAACAAACATGTGCCAACAGCTGGGAAGGGTAGCCTTTGAAGCAGCCCCACAAATATTTTGAAGGATTGGATGCTTTGACACTTCAAGGGGGGATTCTCTGTGCTGATGCATTTTGTGAAAAATGCCTTTCTAATGCTTTGCACAGTCCTGTTGTATAAGTACACCATGATATATAGGTAGTCCTCAACTTACAACCTTTCATTTAGTGATTGTTCAATGGTTACAATGGTACTGAAAAAAATGGTACTGAAAAAAGTTACATGACTGTTTTTCACACTTACCACCATTGCAGTATCCCCATGATCACATAATCAAAATTCAGATATTTGGCAACAGGCTCATATTTATGACAATTACAATGTCTCATGGTCATGTGGTCAACTTTTGCGACCTTCTGAAAAAGTCAGTGGAAAAGCCAGAGTCATTTAACAATGTGTTACTAACTTAACAACTGCAATGATTTACAGTTTAACATGTGTGGTAAGGAAGGTTGTAAAATAGGGCAAAATTCACAACCGTTTCGCTTAGCAATATGTATTTTGGGCTCAGTTGTGGTTGTAAATTGAGAACTACCTGTATTACTAGAGATGTGAGCTTTTTTTGTCATTTGATCATTAAGTGAGTGAAAGGAAACACTTGAATAGATCTAAAGTTATTTGTACTCTTAGGATCCTAAAAAGTTGCTTTATACAAATTCAGATCTCCTGTTCCTGTAAATGTAATATTGTTGTTACAAGCTTGGTTCACACCTCATGCTAAGCTACAGCTTGAATAAACTACTGTAGTTGGGTGTACACAATATGCTTATAATAGTGCAAGACTATTTCACAATTATTTACCCAGAAAATGAAAATGTATACGGTAGGTAGAGACAAGAATTATAAGGACATGTTGAGAAGTAACATTGAATTCTTATTTACGTGAAGACAAAAAGGTGTATCATGGTATTCTATTTAGCCTTCCACTGCAGTTCATTAATCCATATGTGTTTTCCTAGCATCATGCAGCAATTGCAGAGGGCAGCTGTATGATCATAGGAAAGGCATGAACGCTTCAAGAAATTGCAGACAAGTAAAAAATAAAGTTACCCACAGTTGTAGGCTAAAATTACGCAGTTTTTAAAAAAGCACTATGAAAAATGAAGAAACTATGAAATAATCAGTTCCTAAGCATATGGAAGTAGCTTCTGAAGCAGCTACTTAAGCTTGGATAAACATGTGGCTGTCAGTTCTTGGTGCTCTCTGAGCTTGCTTGTTTGCTTATAGATATTTCATCAACCACCTAGGTAGTGCTAGAACACCCACTATCATTGATAATGTTATCTAGTTAAGTAATGAAACATATGCAAGCAAACAACTAAGCTCAGAGATCAACAAAGATTTCACAATTAAACCATGAGCTACAAATATTCTCTTCGGTTGAAAGATACAGCTATTTTAAAGGTCCAGAGGTGTTTCATAGATGTACTTTCAAATCTCCCGTTTTACACAAGCTCAGTATTTAGTTGTTAAACATAGAAAGAGAATAAGAGACTAACAGTATTTCTCTTCCATTTATTGTATAATGATTTCTAATTAGTAATGAAAAAAATGGACATATAACTTTTTAAAAGATAATTGATGGAGGATTGCCTCCTGGAAGGTAGAATGGCTTTTCTGAATTATAACGATTTCCAAATGATGACTGTCTTAATCTTTGCAATCAGAACAACAAAATTTGTAGACCTTAATGATTACTGAATTTATGAGCACCCAAAGCCATGGTTCATCTGAACAGTGAAACCCAATGGGAACTGGTTAGCGGAAAATGTAATTGAAATCATAGGGAAATGATTTTACTTATGTGCCTTGCAAATTTCATCACATGCACCACTCACAATTCTTCCTCTTGAAAATATTTCATACTGTTGAAGTGAATCAAATCACAAAATTCCACAATTTAGGTTGCCATAAGTTTTTATTGTCAATGATACTTCCACCTTAGGAGTAACTAATTTTTTTTTAAAAAGTACTGCTGTGATATAGAAAAAAGCTGCAAACTTTTTTTTTCTTGCAGAAGAAATTATCTGAGTCTCAGAATGACATGACCTGCACCCTTGAGGAAGATGAAAGTGTTGAAAAAGAAGAGCTGGTTGAAGAGTCCTACAAAGGTGTGACTTCCAGCCCACAAGAACTGATTGACAATGCAGCTTTGTCCAATATGGTTTTCTCCGAGTTTCAGCCTTTGAGTCACCCAGATGAAAAGACTTACATGTCACGCTCCACTTCGCTGATGGACTCATATTGCTGTGAGAGCTCTTCAGAGGGTGGTGAATCTATCCAGGGATTAGTACACCCTGTAAGGCAATCTTCAACTTCTGACCCCAAAGAAAATATTGTTCCACAACATGACAAAGAGCACCGTGAAACTTTAGAGATGTCCCCTAAGAATTTAAGTAATGTGCCTTTAAGTATTTTAAACCAAGAAAATAAACAGATTTCTGGTATTCCATCCAAAAGTGACACGAGAACTGCTAAAAATATCCCTGCCAAAAATTACATGACTGCAGAATCAGATGCATCAGAGAAAAAATCATTGAAAGATGCTAAGGAAACTTTTGAAAGTGTTTCTAACAAGGAAGCTACAAAGAGAACATCTTTATTGGCCAATCCCATCATTTCTTTATCCACAAATCCTTCCCAGCTTCCAAATTTACTCCACTCAGAGAACAGTAGTATTTCTCAGGCTTCATGCAGAAACTCTTCACTGGAAGAGAGAACTTCTTTGACTCAAGGCAAAATGAAAGCAACTCAAGAGAAACTGGAATCTAATGATGAAGACCATCTCCCAGCTGTATCTGATAGTATATTGGGAGGGAAAGCAGAGAAAGAAACCAATGACCTTTGTGGCTTGAGAAAGTTTTCAGTGTCATCAGCGCGGTGGAGATCAAGATCTAACAGCCTGAACACGAAGGATGCTTCAGAGCACGAGAAGCCTCTTGCCATGCAGGTAAATTTCTCCACAAATGGTGAAAAGACAAAGAAGGATATTGAGATGAACTCTTCAAAAGAGAAAAAAAGGTGCTTTAATAAACAGAAATCCTCATTAGAGTCAGAATCTGATATTCCTGGTCGAGCATTAGATTCAAAGACTTTTGCCTCACAGCCTTTGGGTTCAAAACCAGTATTGAGCAGCTCTTTTGGTAATCTTCTGCAGCTGTCAAGTCCAAGCCATTCAAGCTCTGAGAGCCAAAATCCCTTCCAAGTCAAACTGAGGTCCACATCGTTATCACTGAAATACAGAGACATTGGACAGGAATCAAAGGAGCGGAAAGGAGAGAATGCTGAACTTAATTTAGTAAAAGAAGAGGTGAATTTATCTTCTCTGAAAGTTGAAAAAGGAGAAACCAGGAAGACAATGGATGGAAATGTTACTGATTTGTCCAATGAAAGCTTCAAAACTAAATTAAAATCCTCTGAGCAGGGAAACACAAAACCTCCACTGCCGAGAAAACCTGCTTTACAACACTCCAGTATTACTAGCCTTAACACAAGCACAGAAAAGCAGGAAAAAATAACCAAATATCCAGAATTTAAAACAGAAAGCAGAAATGTGGAAAAGAAACAGAATCCCTCCGAAGTGCCTGGTAAGACTTTGGCATATTTATATATATATGTGTGTGTATGTGTGTGTGTCACTTACTCAGCAAGCCATGGTTTAGTGCGATAGATGAAGTCAGAGTCACTAGATTTTATTTAAATGATATTAAAGATACAAAAGTCTCCCTTACTTTTTCCCTTAGATGAAAATCCATTCTGAAAACATGAGGAAATTCTGAACATTTACATCAGATTTTCAAGATTTTTTTTAAAAAAAACTATATTAAAATCTGCTTTCCAGTATCATGAAAGTTTTGGTATGATTTCTTTTCTTCTTGCTTTACCCCATCCTTGGGATTCTGCAGAATCTTTTCTGAGGATACTGATTTTAAGTAAATTAAATTATTGAAAGTGCTGTTTTTCAGTAAGATATACTGTATCTCTTCATCACTTTGCAAATTTTTAACTGTAGGTACTTCCTTATTTGGAAAATTCCTAGGAGGAATTATTTTTTATGTGTTCCATTAAGATTTAACTGAAATTTGGAAAGCAAGTGGATAAAGCATCAAAATTATGAAGGGACAAATTTAAATATATACCGAGAGTGCACACCTAGCTGCACATCTCACCAAATGTTATAACCAAAGTGTTATATAGTACTCCATTATTTCTATTTGATCCTTCCTATTTGAGAATGTGACTAATATTCTAGACAGTTCAACACATTAATTGTTTAGAATTAACCATGACTTATAGTTGTAACTAGTTAGGAGGGAAACAAACCAACACTCATATTCTCAAACAACTGGAATTAAAATACAGAGGGAATTGGCTAAGTTTGTTAGCCAAGCCTGCTAATAGTAGGAACTACCTGGAAGCAAATATATATCAGTATGTATCAAACAAAAATATATTGGCTGTTACCAGATATGTTCATGGGTTATACTCAAGGACACTTCTGATAAAGTGTACAGAAGTGCTTTAGGTATGTATGTCTTGGTGATATATCTAGTTACCTCAATTAAAAATATTCTGTTCCAGTAGAAATATTATAATAATAGGTACATGGGGTTTTTTGGGAGGGGGAGCAATAAGCAACATCACAATGATTTTTAATCGTATCTGGAGAAATTTAAGATAAAAAATGAGGAGTAAAATGTCTTTAGCCATGTGAAATAAAAAGAAGGAAAATGTTTTGAAATTGAGTCTTGGCCATCAAAATTACTTGCAGTTGCAGGATGATGAGAATAAGTAGAAAAAAAAGCAAGGGACATTGTACATTCACTGGCTGAATAACAAAGCTGCATTTTGGGAAGATGTCAGTGTGAGAAGTAGTAAAAAAAAAGTATTGAAAGGGTACATGACACTGGGTTGATTGATTGGAATAAGCTATGTCTGGTGGCATTGATAAGATTAATTAGTCAAACTTCTTGTCCCTGGAATATATTTATCAACATCAAGGTATGTGATGTGCTTAATCTGTGCTAAAAGCACAGATTAAATTAAATTTTATGGTTCCCTTTAGCTCAGAAAAGCATTTAAATCCTTTTTTAGGAATCAGATTAGTAGAGTAGGTCTCTTTAACAATATTTGCTGATCATCTCCTTACTCTGCCTAACTATTGAACCTATCTCTGGCTACACCGTTTCTAAATAAAAAAAGTTCTCAGATCTTTAACCTGTGATCCAATAAAGCTTTAGATGGAATGATCTCTACTTAGACATGGAGAGTGAGTGAGTGAGTGAGTGAGTGGGAAACAGATTTTGTGTGATCAAACTGATCACAACTCTTGGTGACCACATAGATGAAATTTCTTCAAGATGATCTGTCTCCAGCCTTTAACCTTCAGATCTTCCAATGGGGTAACATCACTACTATAGTTGAGTCTATCCGTATTGCTGCTGGTTGACCTCTTCTTGTTCCACCTTTTTCAGATTCTAGACTACTCAAGAGTTAGTCCTTCACATAACCTGTCCAAAGTATACTGATTTGATTATTTGTCCCTCAAGCAAAAACTCTGCATTGGTTTATTCTTTTTTTCCCCTTTAATTTATATGCAGCCCTTCTCCTGAGACTCAGGGCGGCTTACAATGCGTTAAGCAATAGCCTTCATACTTTTTTATATTTATACAAAGTCAACTTATTGCCCCCACAATCTGGGTCCTCATTTTACCTACCTTTGAAAGGATGGAAGGCTGGGTCAACCTTGAGCCTAGTGAGATTTGAACTTACAGTAATTGCAAGCAGCAGATGTTAATAACAGTGCATTAGTTCACTGTACTATTAGGCTCTTATTCTTATTCTCTCTCCCTCCCTCCCCTCTCTCCCTCTTACACACACACAATCTCTCTTCTAAACTTCCTCATATCATTTTCAACAAGGTTGCTTAGGCATTTTGCTAGAGGGACAGAAACCAGCTAGTTGGGATCCAGAAATGACTTAAGGAGTGGGTGGGCTTGTATTTTGGAAGTAGACATCTCTATCATACAAATTTAAAAATACTTCTTCCACCTTCTTTTGATTTTTGTACAGTCAGTTAATATCTATCCATTTGTATTCTTTAAAACGTCAATTCAAAGTTGGAATCCTCTTCGGAGTTGAAAGACCTTTTACAACACTTTCTTTGTGTTTCTGTATTTGTTCCCATCATTAATGTCTTTACAGATGTTGTAATATTGCTTCTTGTCTCTTCTGTTGAAATTCCTCGCTAAGATCCTTTCTGACATCTTTGTCTGGAATTTATGAGATCCTCAAAAAAATTTGAAATTAAAAAAAACACAAAGAAACAAAGCAGTGTATGTAAGAGTAAGGATGGCTTGCAAAAATTGATACTAAACAGAGATACTAAATTTGATTTGGCTTGGTATTTCTCCTTTTCAGTCCCTTTTGTAATACTCCTTACCCCAAAATTGAATAATATAATCAAGATGAACTATGTATGTATATTTCAGTGAAACAGTGTTTATTTATAACGTTGCTTAAGACTCATTTGTGTGAAATTCAGAAAGTTTAGATACCACAGATTATAGCTTTACTGTAATGTTTACTCTGAAAGTTTAAAATAAGCAAGTTTCAGAAAGCCATTAATGTGATGTATATGAAAGTATTTGGTTGTGTTATGAGAGACCATTGCATCCAAATATATTTAATTTATTGTTTAACAGACAGAAATAGAAATTTGAATCTTACTTATGGAACATTTCAAAATGCTTGCCTAGTCAAGAAGTTCTTCCTAATATTTAATCTAAAGGTTTTTAGATTATAATTATAATTTAAATGATAGATTTGGGTCCTATCTAACTGATGGCTTTCACCTGCAGTAGCTATTTTCAGGCATTATTAATGTGGACAGTTAATTTATTTAGGGAGTTGTTACACAATCTTTTAATATTGCAGCATGATTTCCTAAGCACTTTCCTCATTAAAAGCAAAACAAGAACATATAACAACAGAAAGATGTATATACAAGTAGTCCTCGACTTACAACCACAATTGAACAACCAAATTTCTGTTGCTAAGTGAGACAGTTGTTAAGTGAGTTTTGCCCCAATTTATGACCTTTCTAACCACAATTGTTAAATGAATCACTGCAGTTGTTAAGTTAGTAAGATGGTTGTTAAATAAATCTGGATTCCCCATTGACTTTGCTAGTCAGAAGGTTGCAAAAGGTGAAGACATGACCCCGGGACACTGCAACCGTTATAAATATGAGTCACTTGCCAAGTGTCTGAATTTTGATCATGTGATGGATGCTGCAATGGTTTTAAGTGTGAAAAAGGTCATAAGACACTTTTTTCAGTGCCGTTGTAACTTTGAATGGTCACTAAACAAATGTTTGTAAGTCGAGGACTACCTGTATATGTATGACAGAGAAAGAAATACATAAAACATCTTACAATAAGACAGTTGTTTTATTTAATACCTATCCAAGAAAGGTAACATTATGCCAGTATTCTCCATTTTTGTCAGGATGCCTTTAAGGTTAGTGGTTTTGAGCTCATTAGACTGACAGATGAAAGAAAAGCAAGAATTGTTCAAGTGACCTGTATTATTACCCTAAGAAACCAAAATAAGCAGATAATAAGCTTATCCCGAGGGTAGTCATTGCCAGCTGTGATATCTGCTGCCATTTTCTCTCAGAATTTGAATGTTATAAACAATCTTAGGTTCAAAATACAAATGATGAGAAATGAAGGTGAAGCTGATTTTAAAAGCAAAGAGGAGAGAGATCAACTCATCCATGTTCCTGGGTTTTTAAAAATCAAATGCTATTTCTTGGGGAGAGATGTAAATGTACTTCCACCATGTGTGGTCTTAGCCTCAGTGCCAATGCAATGCAATGCATTACAACAGGAGTGTAAAACCCGCATCATCACATTGTCGTCATATGACATATTGTGACTTTCCCCCCCTTCGCTAAAATGGGAGTGGGCGTGGCCAGCACGTGATGCATCTGGGCCACGGGCCATGAGTTTGACACCCCTGTATTACAATTTGGAAGAATGAGAATGCTGTTTAGATGCAGGGAAGCTGACTTTCTATGTTATCTTGCTTGAATAGGCCAGAGGCCCATCTAATCTATTGTTTTGCCAAGTGTCAGGGCAGTAATCAAATGCCCAGGCAATTGATTCTTTGGATTCAGAGACAGTGAGCAGACCAGTGAGTGGTAGATTTTAAGCTTTATTATTAATTTTTTTTAAAAAACAAATTTTAAAGCATAATATAAAAAGCAGACACACCAAGCAAAATGATTTCCAAATCTCTTGCAAACTGTCAGAAGCTCCTTAATAATGACAGCAGGGATACTCCAAGGATGATCAGTTTCCACAGAATCCAACGCTAGGCTCTGTGCAGAAACTCCCAGCATAAAGGTTAGTTAGTATTACAGTTTTTATTAAAACCTGGCACCGTGATTTCATGGACCTATTTCTATGGTCACAAGCCTGTAGCACCTGACCTTGACCAGGTAGAACATGATGGAAACCTAAAGTCTGAGACATTCATAGATAAAAAAAGCTTTGCAGTTGTGTGAAGACTCCCCCCTCCCCCTTGGCCGCAGCAAGCAAGAGTGAAAAACAAGCAGGTTAGCTCAGAATGAGTTCCAGCCTTTTCTTAATATGAAGGAGAGATCAAAACAAGTAACTAAACTGGAAATACAATGATCTTCTACATTGGCATCAAATGTACTCCCTTCCATAATGGTCAGTCAGATGTTCTTGAACAGCAGAAATGCTAAGTACTGCTCAACCAATTCAGTCCTTTATTATTTTTCTTTATGAAATTTGTTTCTAAGGTCATTTAGTCTTAACTGATAAGTAAGTGGTGGTCATGATGATGATGATGATGATGATGATGTTATCCATTCAATTGTATCTGACTTTTGGTGATTCTATGGGCCAGGTTTCTCCATGTCTTCCGGTCTTGTACTACTTGATAAGTACATAATTATCAAAAACAGTAGATCAGATCACAAGTTACACATTGGTGATGAATAGTCACAGATAGGTAGCTTCTTCTCCTCTTTCTCCCAGATATCATTAGCTTCTTACTCCATGAATTGTGCAGTATTTCAGCCTCCAAAGTGCTTCAGAGTTCATGGGAGGCAAAATGTAACACCTGCCTGCAATATTCTGGACTAGATATACTTTTCCCACAATAGAGCAGCTGTTCTCAACAACTTTCCAAAGTAGAATTTGCAAGCAAAGACTACATTTATTTATAATTTGTGTGTTTAGTTTATGTGTTTAATCTGACAGTTTAATACTTAATTTTTAATAAAAGTAAACATTGGGATGTTCACTTAATGCTGAAATTACAATAGTATTTAAGTTATAATAGATAATTGACTGGCATTCTGAAACTAAACCAATAGTTCTTTATTGTAAACATATCAAAAGAACGAGAGCTGCTTTTGTTGAATAGTGAATCTCTGAGGGTTAAATGAAAGTTATAGATCTAATATGACTGGTAGCTTCTTGCCCAACTGAGAAGAAAATAATGAAGAAGTACTAATTTTTTTTCATTCTGATCTTGGAATGGAAAGTTTGTATGGAAGGCAGTTGGTTTTTTTCCCTCAATCCCATCATGTGTAGATATAGTTGATTGATTTGTGGTTTTATGATAAGCTGTGTGACTTTCCCTAACAAAGCACAAATTCCATAGTAGGCAAACACAGATATTCTACAGATATTTCAAAAACAAGGTTGCAGTTCTTGCTCAGTTGGCATAACAATGGTTGTTTGTTTTAGAAAAGTTTATTGGGTTTGTATTGATAAAGATTCCAAAGCTAAGAAAACAGTATTTTATTATATACCTCTCATTTCTACTTTGAAAGGCACTGTTTTCCTTGATATTTAAGAAGAACATTAGAGGGAGAATGGATTCTGAAATAGTTTGACTCCTAACAATGCAAGTCCTATAGTACAGTATGTACCCAGTTGATTCATTCATATACATGCAGCTACCCAGAAATGTTTTGGAGTCAGGCTATTCCTAAATCTAATAAATATATCAATAAAAGCTTAAGATGTTTTTGTGTATTGAAAATCTGATGCAAACACACTCATTTTTATTCTGGGCTCAATAAATGTTTATAGTAAATTGGTTGTGTGGGTAGTTTGTTGAAGACAAATCTAAAAGTACATAAAATACTAATACTGTGTACAAAATTGCCATTCTCCTCCTTCAACCATGTAGTCTGTGACTGACTCAAAAACATACAGCATGTTGCAAGGTGCTCAGAATATGTAATTTCAGGGTTCTGGGATAATGGCATAACAGAACAGCCCTTACTCTGTAGATCACAGATCAAGATTTCCTGAGCTCTTATCTATTTATGGAAATTATCTCAAGTCCCATCCAGTTGCTTTAATTCTAGTTTCTACTATCAGTGGGAATTATCTCCTTTACTATAGTCTGGGTTAAGAATTTATCAAAATCTCAATAACTGACCTGAAAGGAAGTCCAGATCATAGGTGCAACTATACATTATGACATTTTCTGGAAGGGGGCAAGTGCTATGAACTTCAGAAGTTATGGCTTCTTTTACTTCTTTTGGCTCTGAATAACTGTAGCTGTAGAAGAAAGCAACTATTTTTTTGACTATATCTGCAGTGACTATTTGGTGTGACATTATCAACATCATCATAGTCATCTCAATGTATATGGCTGCACATCTCAATTCATGACTCCGGGCAACTAACAATAATTAAAGTGATATAAAAATAAAAATAAACATGTAATTTGCAACCATGGTGTAAACAAATTAACCCATAACAAATTAATATGACTAGAGCATGGGTTCAGCCATGCCTTCAGATCCTCAGACATTGTGACAGAACCATATCTTTAGGAACATGTGAAAGGCCAACAGAGTCTGGGCACTCTAATCTTGACAGGGGGTGGGGATATGTGAAATGATACATATACATCAGCTCTGGATTTCTTAGGTTGGCATCTCCACTTATAGAGCAATTTATTTGATGTATGTGGAAGTTTCTCCTTAGAAGTATCTGCTAGCCATTCCTAAGGTTTACAAGACAAAGGTTTTCTCTCTCTCTTTTTTTACTTTGAGCCTGGGAAGATGATTCTAAAGCAGAAGGAGAACCCTTTACAATAATCTTCCTAAATCTTCTGTCAACAGAAACAATTGTGTCTTCTCCTGTGACTGCTACAGACTATGGAAGAACATCTGATATGCCAGCTTGGATTAGCATAGCAAAGCAAAAGCAAAGGATTGTTGAACAAGACCTTAGCAAAGAAGAGAAGCCAGAAGGACAGGATAAAGCAGATGCAGAAAAACAAATAAAAGAGAAGGAAACAACGGAGGTATGTAATTTACCACTGATTAATTGATGTGCGTCATTTCAATGGCACAACTTTTAGTTTTGTTGATCAGTCCTCTAAGCCTTGATATACCCTTGAATCAAATCAGTTAAACCTGTTCTGCTTCTGAGAATTCAGCCAGTAATGACAGATGTCTTATCATCTCTTCATGAAGCTGTGGTTATTTATTTATTACATTATGGGAAAATTATGGGGAAATGGTGTGTCAATTTATATTCCTTACAGTTTGATCAGGTTGGTTAGGAATTTGAATTCCCTTATAAGCCAAACTCTTTATTATTAATGGTTTAATATAAACCATTCCTTTCCTAGCATTCACATAGATATATGCAGTATATCTCAGGTACATGCAGGAAAACCTTTATGACATCATACAAAGCTTGTTGATGCTGTGAGAATCCTTCTTTTTATGGCCTGCCACTTTCAATTCCAGTTGAATTTTATTCCAACCTATCCCAAACCTTGAATTTTCCAAATGTGGCTGCCTTAATGTGATAAGGGATAGGTCAGCCTGTTTTTCAGCTGAGACATTTTTAAATACGTTTCCCCTTCTTCTGTATCTGTACAGCTTTGTGAATATTAAAATGACCTTCAAATATATTGATCTATTTTCTGTCCTCTCTTTTGGGATCAACCCAACCATGACTTTATAGTTTTTCCCATTGCTCTCAATCCATTTGCTTTTTCTTCAAATATCTTTGAAGAATATGAAGTATATTTTTACTCCCTCAAATGCTGTTTTGCATCTATAATTTACAATTAATTCTAAGTGGGAACCTCTTTTAGTGTGTGTATAAGCGTGTGTATATAAGTATGAGTGTATTTCATTTACACATAAACTATGCAAAAACTTAAAATAGGTTGAGAACATTGTACTCCCAAACTCTAAATAAATCATTAAGTACACAAAGTTTACATACTATGTTTGAAATGAACAATTTGTCTCCTTTGCCACAAATTATACTCCCATGACTATTAAACATGTAGTTCAGAACCACAATTTTTCCATCCTAGCATGAATAGTACAACTTTTTAAAAGCATCACTTTTCTATGCTTGTTTGGTGTATATAATTTATGTGGCTGCCCATCTCACCAAGCAACTCTGGCTGGCTAACACCAACAGCAATGCAAAAAAATGACAAAATTTTACATTACATCAATATACAAGGCACCAAGGTCCAAAATAAGTTTTCTTCTCAGTAACAGTAACAGACAACAAGAAGTTAGCCAACAGGTTTACCTAGGCTTAGACTAACTTTATTGTCACTTTAAATGTACACTAATCGGCCATATATTAAAATGAAATTTCATTGCATACAGATCTCAAAGGATCACCACCTCGAATATACACTACATAGACGTGAGAAAAATATAAATAAACAAACAATTAAATAAAAATTATGCATATGCCCACATATATTATATGATACAGAGAAAAATACAGTCTAGTTCAGATGTATAAATGTGCATGGCGAGAAAAACCTAACAACCAATCTTCAAGGTTTGAGGGAAAAGCCAGATCTTTTACACTCTATGGAAAACTAAAAGCTGAGAGCTCTCCAGAACTTTGTAAGGAGAAGGGATATTGTTCCACAGGACAGATGCTACAAAAGACAAGACAGATGTCCTGAGTTCTAACAGGACTACTTAATAGAAAGACCCAAAGCATCCTACCATGACAGATCTGATGAGGTGAAATGAAACAATTGGGAGAAAGCAGTCCCACAAATAAAATCCCAGCAAGATTTTATAGGAGACAGCCAGCATCTTGAAGTTCATCAAGAGCCAGTGCAGTTCACAGACTCCTGGTAATATATGAGCATATCATGAGATGCCCAAAACTTATCTTTGCTGGCAAAGTAGTTGCATCTTTCAAATGCTCTTCAATGGCAGTCCCATGTATAGAACAGGATGTCAGGCCCCAAGAACCAAGTTGATTACGCAGTGATTCTTCCAAGCAATTTTTTTTTTATACCTATAGAGAGAACCTTGCTGAAACTGAAGTAAACTACTCCCTACATGAAACATATACTCTGGGAACTATTAGGGAGGGGCTGTCTTTACCCTCATTCTCTCACACAAATTATCTGAACTGAATTGCCTCTTATTCTTTCTCAATGTGCTCCCTCTGTCCTAGGAATCCCAACTACATTCCATCACACATTATAGATGACGAAGGCATGATCTAGAAATTGGCACACCAAGTACATTTCTGAAAAGGCCTCTGGGCCATGGCTGCCATGTGTTTCTCAAGCAGGGCCCATGAGTCCAAGAAAACCCCCAATTATGTACCAACACTGTCTGGGAGAGTGTAATCTCATTTAAAGTTAGATAGAAAATATTGGGGGCAAGGACTCAGCCAGTTGGGCTTACTAAAATTGACCCAAACAGTCTCCAAACACTGAAAAATATCTTAACAGAGTCATTTAGGTACTTGGATAACTGGATATTACCAGTGTCATCACCTATGCTATTGGATGACCTTACCCAGTGATTTCATGTAGATGTTTAATATGGATGGGAGAAAAGTAGAGCCTGAAGCATTCCACCCAGCAAGGATGTAGAACTAAACCTACTGAAACCAACTGGCTTTGGCCCTGGAGAAAGGAGAAGAACCACTATAACAGTACATTTCCCACTCCCAATCCTCAGAGGTGTACTGTGGATGGTATCAAAAGCTACTGAGAGAACAAGGACGGCTGCAGTGGATGTGTAACTCCCATCCCAGGCCCACTGGGACTGAAAAGGCTCCAAATAATAAATTTGGAAAGGAGTAAGCAACTCCTTTTAATTGCTCGAGCAGGGTTATAATAGCTGAGATCTTTGTTCACGGATTAAATTTCAATTATCAATTTATTATAATAAATTCCATAGTCCATTATGTGTGAAGAGTGCAGCAACTGTAATATGTAACAGGATAATTTCAAAGATGAGCAGGAGATCTACTTCTGCTGTTAACCTATGTGTTGTTTTAACTCCACTCATATTCTCTTTCCAAATTAATTATTTAAAACTTTACTAATTGTCTCTTTGTACTTTTATTTAGGAAGTAGGAAGGCAACATTCAGATTTGCCTCAGAACACAGTGTCATCTTCCCCATTCACAGCTTCTGCTGGAGAAACAAAGAAAGAGACGAAGTTAGAAATGCAAGACTCTTCACTAAGAAATAGCTTGTCATCCCATCAGAACCCTGGTATGAAAAAAAATTGTCAAAATACTGAATTACTATTTTCCACAGTATGTAGGGTTCCCACATTGTACTAAGCCATAATAGATTTTGGCTTTGGCTTGGCATGCAGTATCAATTTGACCAATTGTGGATAATTAAGAAAATTGTGGTTAAACAAAACATGCCTTAACATAATATGTAGACCCATTCACTATTACTATGGTACTTTTCACTTGCTATTTATAGGAATATTATTTTGTGCCTAAGTTACAGGCCATTAAGACATTGTTCATATATAGTTTCAAACACATAATCAAGAGTATAAAGATGCTTTCTGTAAATGTATATGCAGTTATATATGGAATCTTGTCAAATCCAGATGAACTGAAGATCCAGTGTTCACTTGCCGAAGGGGTAGAAGAATCTAGGTTTTGTTTCTGTGGCCTATGTAGAAGATTCTATTTATACAGATCTATTTTCTTTATTATGTTTAGAAAACATTAATTCCCTAAAAAGACTGCATGGGATGGGATGAACCTGACATTTATTTCTAGAATACTTTTGTAGACAATATAAAAATTGTATTCATAGTTTATTTTCACAGACAAAATTCTTATCCAGCCTTACCTAGTAGAATCTCAAGAGGGTTAGCAGCAGGGGTGGGTTCTACTTACTTTTACTACCGGTTTGCATCGTGCCCATGCACGCTTGCTTGCTTCACTCGTGCACACGCGCACTCTTCTGCACATCCGCAGAAGCTTCTACACATGCACAGATCACTTATGATGACATCCGGGTCAGTGGGTGGAGCCTCCCGCCAGTTTTACTACTGGTTCTATAGAACTGGTCCGAACCGGGGGCAACCCACCACTGGCTAGCAGATACTGCTGAACATTGAGTTTCTAGAAAAAGGATTCTGAGGCTATGATCTGTAGATCTCCGATAGCTCACAAGATCTTTCAGATAATCTGCTACATCTCCCTACATTCATTGGCCAGAGTGAGTTTGTTCCCTCAGCTTCTGCTTTTCCTGTATCATCAACCATCAGCCGGCCATCTTTTTGGAGATTTTAGTACTCAGATTTCTATTTAAGAACTTTTGTGACCCATACATCTGTGACAAAAGCTACAATATAGCATGAAGTACAAAAAAAACGATGTTCAATAAATGCTTGGAATTAATATTTTGGTAGAAATATTAAAGGGGTGTTGTTTAAATGGATGTTCCACATATTTTCCAGATATTTATTTTCAGATATTAATTGCAGGTTTGAGAAATACTGTAACAGAAACTTTTTTCCCCTCCATATGCAGCTCAGCCATCATTGCCAATTGAAAAAGGAGATGTAAAGCCACTTAAGAAGGTTGGTCATTCTCCAGATCAACCCTCATGGATGGAACTTGCCAAAAAGAAATCTCAAGCATGGAGTGACAGGCCACAGAGGATAAAGTAGATAAATAATTTTGTACTGTTTTATGCATCCACATCAGCACTCATCAGTGGATCAAAAGTTTTAGTAAAGCAAAAATGTTGATTTTTCAAGCTAAACCGATTGAACTGATGAGGATAATAAACCTATGGTGCACCAAAGAGGCCACAATGCAAGAGTTTCAGAAAAGTCATCACATTTGTACAGTACTATAGGACAATTCTTGAAAATGTCTGCAAGCAATTTAGCTTTGGCAAGAATTTATTGAGATGAAAAATATTGCTTACTGTGTTCCTTTTCATTTTTTCACCCATAAAATGTTATGCCATGAATATTGTTAGAAGATTAACTAAAGTTAGGTAACTGCTCCTTTAATAGAGTGAGAATAATTGTCCAATCAAAATGTCTTTGCTGAGATATACAATTACAGCAGACTAGAACAAGAATATCTTTTCAGATATACGGGAAAACATTTTAATGCAATCAATCGAATGAATGATAATGAAAGAAACAGGTTTTAATAATTGTTTCTTAAGATGGAGTTGGAAATTAGCTAAGATACCTATGGTTTAGATCCCTACCTTTCCCAATAGATGAAAACTTATATGTTTATTATAACTCTAGCCCATCATTTGAACCAGCAATATTAGATGATTATTATCCTGTTTCCAATTTTCTCTATTTAGGGCAGGTTCTTAAGAAGGTGGTGGATCCTATGGGAAACCCTAGAAGAAATGGCTTATCTGACTCTTTTTTTTAGTTGGATTTCAGACCTGGATATGTTCTGAAACCACACTGATACTTCTTGTGCGACTGAAATAAGGGTAGTGCAATGCTCTGGTCCTGCTAGATCTCTCTGTAGCTTCTGACAACATAAATCATGGCATTATCATGAACCACTGCCTGGAGTTGGGAATAGGAGACACTATTTTATATAAATCAACTAATCTTTGCTTATATTGTAGAAATGCTATTGAATGAAAATTATAAACTGTTGGGCTATTGTTTGACTCTTCTTGCCTTTCAAGCAATTTAAGGTACTATATATCGAGATATCCATGCATAGTGAAAAGTGCTAGATCACTTTTGGATTGAAAACTTTATTTTATTATGTATTATATTAACCATTCCCATTTTTTTGCATTGCATACAAGTAACGTTACCTTTCTTATTCCAGCTTTCATCCCTATAACATGATAATTTTTCATGTTAAAGTTCTTTGTGACTTACTTCCCAGTAGTTGCATTTGGAATTGTAGCCTCTATTTTTAACATCTGAATTTGTTTTAATATTGTGTAGAGAACTGTAATAAATTTTTAAGTCCAAAATACCTTGTGTGAACAACGTTGATTGTTGTCTTGTTTCAGCTTTCAAACTCATAACATAGTTGCTAGGTGAGAATAGCAATTTACTCAAGGCTGAATAGATAACTGAGAGACAAAGAAAGGAATGTAAGTCAAAACAGAGTCTCTGAGAAAGAAAACTTGCGGGGTAATTTTGCTTTCAGCAGGAACATGGAGAAGTCAAAATCCAGTGCAATTTTTCAGATTCACTGTGAGTCATGATTGACTGAAGACATCTTTGTGAATGAGCAGTAATGACAACTGCTGTGTAGAAGGAAAGATGGGGGGTAGAAAGTCTCCAGAGAAGAAGAAGAATGGAAGATCACCCACAGGGGCTCTGAATGGCAGCTCTTCATGAGGAGATCATAAAAGAGCAGTCACCAGAAGCCAAGGGAGATGACAACTTTGCTTTCAGCAGAAGTGGAGCCTTTAATAAGGATACCAAGCCAGCCAAACTCATTTTCTAGATACATTTGGAAATGTTCAATTTAACTATTTTATGGATAATAGAGACTTTCAAAACCGGGAGCTTATTTTAACACCGGGTAAATTTTACCTTCTTCTTTGGATTTAAGAAATGTTTAAGAGTTAAGATATAATAATATACAATTGGCCAAAAAAAAATGGTTTTGTTTGTTTTTCAAATTGCAAAAATAAAAAATTAGTGGCAGGACAAATCAATATGGACATGAAAATCACCCAAGTGGACCTGGTTACTGCATTTGATTGGATGCAATAATATTTGTTGATCCTGCACCTGTGGGAAAATGCTAGGATGAAGAGGAACAGGAGTAGAAAAACATCTAGTTGACAAAAAAAAAGTATTTGATTTAAGAAAGTCAAATACTGGGAGACCAGAGAGATTTGAAATATTGGTTATTTGTACTGTAAATTATGAAAAACAACTATATAATTAAATAATATACTCATGGGAAACAACTGAAAGGGAACTACACCCTTAACAACTGAGGCCTGATGAAGATTGTAAATGGATACTAGAAGGAACTAAAAGAGCAGGCAGAAAAATATTAAAATAGCCAAGCTGGCTATAATCATTTCATATCTTAAAGCAGGGGTCCTCAAACATTTTAAACGGGGCCAAAAACGGGGCATGCAGATGCACCCGGAGGCCCATTTTTGGTCTCTCCTGCCTCCAGTAGCAGTCTGCATCCTGCCTCCCGTGGCATCCATGCACCCCATTTTTGACCTCCCATGCCTCCAGTAGAACTCTGCCAGCCAAAAATATGCACGTTTTTGGCCTCCCCACCTCCAGTAGCATTCTGCATGCAAAAAACGGGGCATGTGGAGCCCTCCCGGGGCATCCACGTGCCCCGTTTTTGACCTCCCCCACCTCCAGTAGCACTCTGCCAGCCAAAAATGTTGGCCTTATTTTCCAGTTCTAGCCCACGCAGCTCATGAAGGTAAGTCCTGCATTCAGCCAGCGGGTGGGGGCCGGCGGGTGAGTGAGGCGAAGTGGGTGGGGAAGCCTCGTGGTCCTGCACGGGCCAGATTAATGGCTTCGGCAGGCTGTATCCAGCCTGCGGGCCATAGTTTGAGAACCCCTGACTTAAATAATTTTTTGATAATTGAACTTTTAATAACTAAAATCTCAAAGAATACAGATTTCAATGGATACATTCTTAGAAAATGATGAGAAAAAAATTAAAAACTTTTGCTTCATTTAGATATAGATTTTGAAGGCACGAAAGGCAACAAATTGAGATCAATGAAATCGGAACATCAAAACAAATCAGGAAAGGCATCAGGATATGGAACAGCTGCAACAAGAAATCTTTGATGATATCTTTTTATGTATTTTACAAAGTAAGCTGATGAAAAAACCCTCCTAAATGCAAAGATCGATGAAAGATCAAATTCTGCAATGCCGTTGGAATGATTTAAAGTTTAAGATTGTGAAAAGGTGAAAGAAGGGATATAAAGTTGAACTATTTGATCAGGGATAAATTATTTGTTTAATATTTCTAGTAACTCCTAATGGACTTTTTGCTGAACGAGAACTGTAAACATAGGCTATGGGAAGAAAAGGTTTTTTATTTGTAATTTTAAAATCATGTTAAAGGTTAGTACATTAGTTTATGCTGGGGTGATGAAGGTTGCAAGCTGCTTCTTTATTTTATAAACTGCTGTTTTTTTTTTCCTCTTTGAAGCTCTAAAGTAGCTATGCCTTTTTTCAGGTTCACATTGCTGCTTCAAAATCAAAAGTTCTGCATGCTTATATACTGTATGTAGAGCTGCTTTGCTTGCAGAAACAGTCAGGAGCTTCTTACAAAAAGGTTTGAAGCTAAAAACAAGATGCTGCTTCTGCTGCTTTAATAATCTGTGCCCCCAGAATAGCTCTTCTTTCAGATAATTTTCAGATTGGTAAAGTTCCTGTCGATAATCATTTAAAAGGCCTGATATGCATCTTGCCTGGTGACATAGAGCTTCCTCTCTTACTGTATTAAACAGTGGATCTGCATAGATCGCTGCAAGTTTAAGCAACAGACTGAAGGTGATGCTTTTCTAAAAGTGATTATTTCGTTAAAGTAATCAGCCACCCTGAGTCTTCAGAGAGGGGCGGCATACAAATTGAATCAATCAATCAATCAATCATTGTGGTTAGATTTGTTACATGTTTAGTACATATATCATGTTTACTATCTTTCATTGAGGGGGACTATTTGAACTGTGTAAAGTTAGTACATAAATATATTAAGTAAAATGACTGAGTTATTAAAAATGTGAGAGAGGGAATTTATGAATGACTTTTCAGAACAGTTAGCCTTTATATAAGAAGATTGGAATGTTCTTCCGCCATTGCTCTCTTGCCAAACAAATGCCAAACATGAGATGGGGAAGCGCTTTGATGTTAAATTTAAAAACATACACCATTCAAATGGTGTATGCTACACTTAACAATCCAGTGTTCAGAACATGAGACTACCACTCCATCTCACTGTACACAAAGTGCACAAGAGAGATTACAGACACCGCTGGTAAATTTCATATCTCTCAATTGACCCACTTTAATAGGAACTTAGTAAACTTGGATAAGAAACTTGTGAGAGAAGTCAGAAGCATGAACTTATTTCTATAGTTTGCTTTAAACCAGTCAAAAGCCCTTCATTGGTATATTCCTCTGCTTTTATATAGGCACACAAGCACTATAGTAGGAAACATACATAAATGTTGGAAAGAGGGGTTTTTTTGCATGAGGGAAAGCAAAAATATATTTTATTGCCTTTGCCATTGGATCCTACCTCCCACTTGCAAATGTAATGTTCTAGGTAGCCATTCTGTCAAACACAGAATATCTGACTTGTAATGATGAAGGTCAAATCAGCTCATTGATGAGAATTACACAGGAGGGAGGAATTTGTGATATATTTCACAACATCATTCACTGTTTGAATCTGAACATGTTATTTCTACATAACTCCCTCTTATTTGTAAAATGTCATTGCACCAAGAGGAATGCAATTTCAGATACATCTCCTGCACATTGACTTAAAGAAGCTCACTCATACTTGCTTCTGAGTAAATATATGTAGAATTGTAAATAAATCCGGGGCTTGCAGAGAACCAGTGTATAACAACTGAATTTATATCCATGAAATAACTTTCAGCCTTAATATGTCTATTGAGAAACAATAGCATTGTATTCAGTGAGCCACCAACAATATAAGTGTTCATAAGAATGCAGGTTTATCATTAAAATACAAATATGAACTTCAAATATTTTAAGTAAACAGTTTAAAGCCTCATATATTTACCTCTCTAAAAACTATTCATGTATGCATACATTCTAAAGCGTCTTTACTGTACAGTCTTATTTGCCTACTATGAAATAGTTTATTTGGATTTTCCATTTCGTTGCATACATTGGCAATCTTCCCAGAACACCTATGAATGAATTGCTCTAAAACAGCTTAAAGGGAGGTCAACCAGGAAAACACTAGACTATTTTGTCTTCTTAGAAGCAGTGATATAAATAAGCATTGCTTTAGTAAATTAGGTGGATACTTTTGGGGGATATACTGTATATCACTGATACCAGTATTTGCTGTTACTTGATTTTTCCTTTTGTTTCACAGATCTAGCATGGTGCGGTGGTTAAAATATTGTAGTTGGATTGGGGAAATTCAAGTTCAGGTTCCTTAAACGTAAGTGTTGTCTGGGGGATAAAATTAAACCATGTAAGGCACTTTGAGCTCCTGGAAAAGAGGCTGAATATCAGTCAATAACAAAATAATATTCTATATCCCCTTGCTACCAAACAACACATGAACATTTTAGAGGATATAGATTCTATCCTGTTCACTTGGGAATTCCTGAGATCAAGAAAAAAAAATCCATAGGCCTATCCTTAAACAGACCTATTTCCTTCTAAATGTTCTGCCACCAAACACTGGTAGCTTTACATCCACTGGTGCAGCATATTGTCACAGCATCCGAGGTTTTGAACCTGATTCCATCTTAGCCTGCTCTACTTGTCCTTGTTACTCCTTGGTTACTGACAAATAATACACAGGAAGGAAGACAACTGTCTAAATATTTTCCTCTTTAAAACTGAAATCTAGAATAAAATTAAAATTTTATTAGTCTAGACTTTAAAATTAGTCTCAATCTTGTGACATCATGTATTCCCATGCTCTCTGAAAATCATTAAATAAGTTCTTCAAGTGGATCAGAGAATCCAGACTTCCCCTCTATTTACGACATACAGCTTTTTATCTCTCCTATAAATTCCAGTAACAATTTTTACCACTTCAACTTTTGATTCTTGCTCTTTTCCCTTTCTTTTTCAGCTCACTAGCACTACAGTCTCCTAAATCAATATTTCTGCCAATCTCTACTCCTTACTGACCTTCTGAAGTGAAGATGATCAAGCCATCATTGAACAGGCCTTTCATTTTTCAATCATGCCTTCAAACTAGCATCTAAATGTAATGTCTTTCCACTACAAAAAGATGTTAAAAGATGAC